AAATGTTGAGTTTGAATCAACACCACGCGTGCGTGTTATTCATGTTTACTATGCGTTATTTCCCTCAATGAATTCATACAATTTTTCTGAATATTACAACGCGTTTTTCTCTTAGTGTAGTGATTTTTGAACTTTTATTCAAATTTGTGCAATCAAATCAAAAACCGGGACACTAAAACGAAACCCGGTACATTTTAAGGTTGGACCGGGAGGCGGGGACAAATAGTCTAAAACCGGGACATGTGCGGAAAACCGGGACGTCTGGCACCCCTACGATAAATGCTTATTGTTTGCCGTATACAGTCGCATGAAAGGAGTCGCACGTTTTTGGCTCAACTCGTCAGAGAAGCTACATTCCCATTGGAATAGTTTTGCCAACGAATTGAGAGAGCAATTCCGACATTCCCCTGACGAAGCAGAAGTACATTTTTAAACGCAAAAGGCGGTACGTAAAGAAAACGAAAAGGTGGTAGACTATTGCTTTCTTGTGTGTGCACTCGGGTGACGATTTAAAGTAAGACTTCTTTTACACAGTTCAAGTATTGAATTCAATTCTGCTCGCATGTGGGAGAGAGGGGGTGAGAAGAAAAGGGATGAGTACACATGCATCTGTACCGTCAAGTCGTTTCAACTTTCTTGCTTTGTTTTTGGCATTTTCGTTGCTTCCCATTTAAAGAACCAAAAACTTGAATTCAACAGAATTGAAACGTGTAAAAGCAAATAGAAAACACAAAAGAGGATGAGCAAGAATTGCTTTCAAGTACTTGGATCATATAAATCGGGTGTAAGCGAAACGGCATCAGTGCAATGTGAGAAGGGCTGCGCAGTCGCGACTTTCAAATGGCAAGAACAGCGCAACGCTTTGATACAGTAAAGCAAATGCGCGAAACGCTAGTAGAGTACGAAAAGAATTTTCCAATAAGCACTACGCTTAGTAGTCCCCTTTCAGACACGTCAAGTCTTGCGTTCAAGTCTGCTCGTTTGTTGGCGAAGGAGGTGGGAAGAGAGGGGAAGAGTACAGATACCTCCGTACCGTCAATTCGTTTCAAGTTTTCTTGTCTCTTTTGATCTTTTCGTTGCTTCCCATTTAAGAACCAAGGACTTGAATTCAATTAAAGTTGACGCGTGTGGAAGCAAATAGAAAACACAAAAGAGAATGCGAAAAAAATTGCTTTCAAGACTTGACGTGTCTGAAAGGGGACGTACATTAAAAGTTACAAAGAGAAACAACGAATATGAAAATGTAAGCAAAACTGAAAATCTCAGCAAAACAGATGAAAACAAGTAAATTTTAGCAAAAAAAACCGACTTCAACTCTCATATTAAAAAAAATATATATATATATATATCATGATCCACTCCATTATCGAAATCGGTTGACGTGGTCCAATGTTATGTGGTAACATACATAAAAAAAAATTATATATATATATATATATATATATATATATATATATATTTATCATGATCCACTCCATTATCGAAATCGGTTGACGTGGTCCAATGTTGTGTGGTAACATACATAAAAAAAAAATAAAAAAATATTCCGACGAACTGATAACCTCCTCCTTTTTTGGAAGTCGGTTAAAAAGGTAAAGGGTGGCTCAACATATTATAACTGCCAGGAAGTAGGGCATATCTCTTTGAACTATTCAGGGCCTTAACGTCAGCAACGCTGTGCCAAGTGTAATAAAGTGCATACGAGAGGTGAAAATGAATGTAAATTCGCCGCTGTAGTGCGAAGTATATATTGTGAAAGCAATAACCATTTTAAAGTAGGTGTAGCTTTTATTGATTAAAAAATCAGTGTGCGCTGCCATTAAATGTGACCGTGAAGAATGTATGTTAAAAATTACTGGCATATGTGGTGGTTTTCGATACTCAAAAGAAAAAATTAATACAAATATAGTGATCAATGACGAAAATGTATCGGTCACGTTGTACTTAGTTGATGATATTTTGCTTGGTCAGGACAATTTTTGTAGATAACAATTTGCGTTTAAAAATTGACGGTGGCAATGTAACTGTTGAAAAAGTAAATAAACGCTAAATTAAACAAATAAAACGGTGTGTAAGGGATGATATCAAATTAAATGCGAAATAATTGATAAAAATGTGAAATCGGAACTAATGCAAATCATACAAGAATATAGTAATGTGTTCGCAGAAAATTTGAGCGATATTAGCAAAACAGATTTAATCAAAATGGAAATCGAATTGAAAAATAATGAAGTTCTATCGCAATCACCGTATCGGCTTCCGGAACCTAAAAAAACCAATTGTAACAAAGATGACAAACGATTTAATTAAAAACGATATTTTAATATTTTTAATGAGCTTTGTACCACGATAATTTTATTAGAAAAAATGGAAACAGCAACAAAGTCTAGGCGGTAGAAGTTATAGCAGCTTCTTCTACCGCTTAGACTTTGTTGCTTTTGCCATTTTTCCTAATAAAATAATCGTGGTACAAAGCTCAATAAAAATATTAAAATAAAATGTTAATAAGCCACAATATCATCGAAAAATACATAGTTTAGGAAGAGCCTGCCTGAAACTATACAAGAAAGCAAATGCATGTATAGAATTGACAACAACAACCACGCTGTCAAGTTTAATTAGCGGCAAATCAGCTGCACTTGATAGCAGTAGGTTGAATAAGGAAAATGAATTAGCAACACAAGTTTACGGAGTGTGCATTAGGGCGGGTCGAAAATCTAATTTTTCTCAAATCTCTTTGTAATGGTGAAAATATATTGTATCATGAAGTCAACAACAAGCCTGCAAAATATTAGTATTTTATTTTAATTGCAAGAGCCCGCGCATCGACCGCCAAGTGACCCACAGCACACTAGTCGAATAAGACCAATTCTTGTTAAAAATTCTGGGTTTAGCAAAAATGTTTGATGCTTGTTATTAGATAATGAATCCGTTAACGCAAAAGATAAAGTCAAACATCATTTTCTCGCAGCCCTTTAGCTTATCGTTAATCTCAAACTAATCTGTTTTTCAACCAAATTGTAATTGTTTTGTTGATAATTGTACTGGTCTATAGTCAAGAGATGTAAATAACAGCATTAACATTGCTAGCGTGCATTTAGGTCACTGGTCCTAAATATCCTAATCTTTTTTTAATATTAGAGTCAGTTTGCGAATGTTTGCAAATTTAGGAACAATATCGGTAGCTCTAATAGAAAAGCCATTATTTTCCATTATCGTGGAAAAAATTTTGTTTATGCAAATGAGTATGAAAACACTGAACAGGCGCAACTACTAGAAACACTAATTAGTTTACTTATGTTTGTGCATACAATATAAAGAACCGCAAATATAGGAAAATGACAACAAATTTTTTTCAAAAATTTTTTTGTATATTAAAATAATTTGTTTATAATCTGAACGATTTTCATCATATTATTATCATAAATCAGTAACAGTAAGTCTCGTCTTCAATTTTGTAATTATACGTACCGATCGAGTAACATTTACCAAAGTTATATCGAAAAAATTAAGTGGATCTCCAGTTTTTTCTAAAAAAAATTCTCTTCAATTGTATAAGTCACCTTTAAATGAAAGACCCGGTTTACAGAAAAGTGTGCCAGGGAGTGACTTTTTCGTCCAAGCTGAGGGCAAAACAATATCGTCCAATTGGAGAGTCCTCAAAAGGATTTCCCAGGATATGTTAAAGACTGTCACTTTTTCACATAATGGAATTAACTAAAACATTTATGTATATCTAAACACTTATTGCACGCCCGCTACTTTCATATAAAGGCAAATTTAGAAACCGCGAAAAATGTGCTTCTGCGGTACCATGAAACCATTCCGCACCAATTTTCAAGACTGCATAAATGGACTTAAAATGGGCGCTTCTCACCCTAATTGTATTATCTTAATGTATTTAAATACTTATATGCTTGAAACTACTATTAACTTATCAAACGATACCTAATCTTTGAAAATACATGTTTGACTTCATTAACCACGATCTTGAAAACTGACCAAATCGGCGTGACCAAGTCAATAGTCCTTTTAATATTATATAAACATCCGAAAACATTAAAACGTTTGAAATAAATCTCGTCTCACTTGTTTGTATTTTTCACTTGGTTGCTGAAGTAATGAAGAATTGAAAATGCATGGGGGAAAATTATAGTTTTTGTAAGTTTTATCTTAATATCTTAAAAACTTGTAGACTTATTGAAAAATGATAACTGAACGTGAGGTACTAAATTTAATAACCCTTAATTTGATATATCGTGCTGTTTATAACAATTAACGCATTCCATGGATATTACAAGCCAAAGTTTCATTTTCGAAATTCATACACTTTTATTCAATTTCACGGGCTAAAGATAAGTTTTAAATTAATCTTTCGTGGCCAATAACAATTGGCTTAGACCTAAGACATCATAATATTACTATTACAAAACCGTCAAATGCCTTTTATTTTCCCCCATACAAAATCGACCCAGCCTAGTGTGCATAGCTCAGTGCAAGAATGATAGAATACAAGATTGCGCCGTCCTGGCCGTTGACATTTGTGTACCACAAGTAAACAAAGAATAGAGACAAAGGTAGAACGAGTTGAAACTGTCAAAACAGTTCACTTTACAGCGAAAAACGTGTTTTGATTTTGATCAATGCGAAAATATTGCATTTTTCATCTAATCTATTGGAGAATAGTGAACGTTTTAGTGCACTCCATGCTTTGCAATTAAGGCTGCTGCAGCAAACGTTTTAGTGAACTCCATTGCTTTGCAATTAAGGCTGGTGCAGCAAACTGCGACAGCATCTGAGTGGGATTGATTAGTTAACTTGCTAAAAGAGGCTGCTTGGAACAGAAGCGATATGATTGTGATAAAATGCTGTAAATATAATAATAAAAAAACATTTCGGCTTTGCCACGCCCTATATACATAAAATGCAGCGATTCGTCGCAGCGTTACACTTTCATCTACGCATAATGAGATGGGGCACCATGGCACACTTCATGGAAGGACAACAGCGGGAATCGGAGCCATGCAGTGTGCATGAGTGCAGTACTACCAACAGCTGTTCCTGCAAATCGTGAATATCGTGAAGCATCTGGAACGCAACTATTATTTCGTACTTTGGTCGTTTACGCAACATACCTGAAGAGCTGGAACAAAGATATAAATTACAGGGATTGATCCGGCCCAATAAATATGCAGGTTAATTGGTGTTATACACATTTGTAAATATAGGGAAAACTTTTGCTTTTTGTCGCAGGCGAATCGAGAAAATCTACTTTCCTCAAAGAGATGCGTATAATACGCGGCATTATTTATGAACTCGAACTTATTCCAAAATACAAATAAGTGATATATCAAAATGTATTACGAGGTAAGCTTTAAATCATTTTTTCCAATAAGATCTGTAAAAGAACTAATCAGGAATCTTTGTTTGAAGGAAAGCACGTATTGATTGATGCTCGTCAAAAACTGGGAATCCCATAGGGAAACACCGAACAAGAAACAATGCGAAATAGGCGAAATTTATTGAATGTAGTAAAGTGGAAATCGACAATTTCATACAGTGGGCTCCATATATTCGTAGACTATGGCAAGATACTTTTGTAGTGTTCTACTTCAATATTGACATAACTCCAAAACCAAACGCTCGAAAACACTGTTTTCAAGTTTTGAATTTTACCTTAATTTAGAAAGGCCGCTATCGTCGCTGAAATGTAAAAAAGCCATAACTAACTACAATTTATATTGCATAAACGATGAAAAGCATCATAATCAATCAAAAATCGAGTTTTGCATATTGAGTTAGTTACGGCATTTTGTATTTTAACGACGATGTGAGATATGGCCCTTCTATGTTAAGGTAACGATATACTCCCATATCAAAAATGAATACTTATTTTGCTCTACTGAGCTATTGGTAATCAGTGCAGGGGAGATTCCGTAACCAGTTAGCGACAATTTGCGAATCGCTAACTGGTTACAAAATCTCCCTCCAGATATGAAAGTACACAACATAGAAGAGCAGTTAGCAGCCATTTCTCTATACTTAACTCGACTTTGTATTATATTGGACATTGAGATTATGACACTATTGAAGTAAATGAGCAATAAGTAAACACACATTTTTTTGTCTCTTTGTTAATTTAATCAAATAAAACACCTCTTTGAGGTAAAATTTTCGAGTGGCGAAAGCTGAACTAGAAACACAAAATTTATGATATCAATTTC